ACGGTAGCGTGCACGTTATTCTTTTACCTATCGTTACAATTATTTTGTTATGTAAAGTTAAGTCAAATATATAACATTTGATTGTGTGTAACAATTTGATACGGTTATTAAAAAACATAGTGGGAAAAGTCAGTAGTAATCTATTTCTGTAGCGTGCACGGTACTGGCTAAGAGTGGTTTTTCATTTTAATTAACCCTTAATTAACCCTTTACGAGTAAGACTGCTTTGAACAACATTATTCTAAAATATTTGTGGAATACGTTTTTTATGTGGTTTAGGTAGGTATGCAAGGCATAAGATTTCGTTTAATTTTTCCTGTCTAGGGAAAGATAGGAGAAAAATATATTTGATCTTAATCCTTCTTAAGATTTATATAAATCGCTTTAAAAATTTGTTACAAATGATGTGTATGTATCGAAATAATTATAAAACTAAAAACGTATAATCATCATTATATGGGAGCTGATCACGCTTAAAATATAATGAGACCTTAAAACGAGAACATAAAACTTAAATGTTAAGTTTCATTGAAATTCATTCAGCCGTTTAGACGCAATCATGTCAATAGCATAGGAACAAAAAAAAATATGTTTTTTTGTAGTAGTCACAATATGATGAGGGGGTCCTAAAACGTGTATTTTCGCTAAAAAAAAATTTCGAAATATTTTTTTCGTTATTGAAATTCACTTAGTCTTTTAATGCATTCATGTTAATAGCATAGGAACAAAAAAAATATCGTTTTTTTCAATAGTCCCAATATGATCAGGGGGTCCCAAAACGTGTATTTCCGCAAAAAAAATTTCGAAATTTTTTTTTCGTTATTGCAATTCACTTATTATTAGTCGTTGAGGAACAAAAAAAATGTCTTTTTTTCAATAGTCACAATATGATCAGGGGGTCCTAAAACGTGTATTTCCGCTAAAAAAAAATTTCAAAATTTTTTTTCATTATGATACTTTATAAATTTCCTTATACCTTACATATAGGTCGGAAAGTAAAAATGCTGGGGCAGTCGAGACTTGGAATCGTATGCCACTTATCGCGAGGTCGTATTTCAGTTGTTTTGTCTTTTACAAGAGCAAGAAGGAAAGGCTCACACTACCGTTCTTTATCGATTTGCCGAAGTTGTGCGAAGTGCCGAGCTCACGTACACGTGGCTCGTGCGGTAGTGTATGCCTGCTATCCCCACCATTCCGTTAGACGCTAAGGAAGTTCGTCGTCACTGTTGTCGATTTCGATGCACTCAATTATGCCCGATCTGGCCACACTGCTGCCATACCGACCTGAAAATTCGGAGGTGATTTTAGCGGCCTCTTCTCATGGATGGCGGTTAGTTGAGAAACTAGGCACTAAATTAGTATTGATGGGCAGCCAGCTGAATGTGTGCGTAAATACATGTGAGTTGACTATGGGGGGAATTGAAAAAGACAGTGCAGTATTATCAGATGGCAGACCCGTGCCCAAAGGGAGCTGCCCCACCACTTACACACACTAATGCCAACCTCCTTGTATATGAGTTCTGGCGTTTCGTATCTCTTCGAGGATTAGAAAGGTGGCGAATGTCAGTCTATCCTTCTTGCTCTTACCACAGCCGAAATTCGATCTCGCATAATCTTAAGCCGAGATTCTCGACTGCCCAGGCATTTTTGACTTTCCGACCTATGTAGGCGTATACAATGTATAAGCAAAATACCATAATGAAACAAAAATTTTTTTTACGGAAATACACGTTTTAGGACCCCTTGATCATATTTTATCTATTAAAAAAAACACATTTTTTTACTATGCTTATGAACGTGCGTTCACATATTTATACTATTAATACTATTGGGTCTAAACAACCGAATAAATTTCACTGTAATTTTTAATTTTTAAATCGGAAAATATTTGAGAATACTGTCCTATTTGTCCTCTTTGTTTAGCAATTTAAAAAAACGCTGACTCATTAAAATCAATCATATGAAAATGAATGGAAGTTGACACCGTCCCTACTGAAAATAAAGGACTGGAAAATTATTGTTCTTCCAATGAAGGAAACTCTTTTACTTAATCTTTCTCGAAGGCGAAGGCAAAAAAGTCGATTTCGCCACGGCAACAATGGTTGGACGCGACGCGTGGACATTCCCCCGAAATAGGGGATCGGCTTTTGTTTTCCAGAAACGCTAGCGACAATGTATTTTCCAAGAGAGTCGAATGTAAGGACCACTGAAGGACGTTCAGTCTACGATACATTTATGACAGAGTTTTGGGGTGCATGCGGCCTAAAGAGCGAATGAGACTAAACAGGCTGGGAAACGGGTGACGCGATAGCGGACGACCGCGTTGGGTCTCCAGGTAGCGCGTGTCGAGGCATTGATTGTTTATGAATGGAGAGAGAGAGTAGTTAAAAGAGGCAGACGACCTGACGTCGTACTGCTGGAAAAAATAAAGATTTTGTCCTGAAGGATCTGGCCACGGAGTGGGGAAGGCGTGGGACTTTCCGGTAAGAGCACTGTGAGGAACGGCACAGGACTTACCCCAGAACCGTCAAAGGCAAAATTTCTAACATACAGGCATGTCTCTATAAATTTCAAATCCATCAATCAATATGAATTTGTGATATCATGTCAGCCAATTTCGAAAGTATGGTTTCGAGAAAAACTCATTTAAAATTTCTGGTATGATTATTAACTGTTGGGTACTCTTCCCTCTAAATGGCTATAACTTTGTTATTTTTACGAATTTTAATGAGTCTACGTTTATTATAATTGCTAAATGAAGAGGACGAGTTCCGAGTCAAAGATCCGTTACGGGGTTTTAAAAAAGGACAGATTTGCAGTTTTGTTCTCATTAATGTTTGCAGCGTGTTTGCGAGGGATGTGTCCGATATATACATATGTATATAATCAATTCATTTTCCTTCAATAATTCTCTATTGCAAAAATTCTACAGTATTCTTACATTTTTTTATATATTAAAATTTTCCCATGTTATTAGAAAGTAGATATACGACGTAAGTTATACAACTTATAGTTCCTAGCATGTATAACATGTATATGTATATAACGCATGGTCGCTTCGTATGGAAAGTCAATGAATCTTCAAAAAGCGCCCAGGTCCGATTACGAGAAATGTAAGGTCTGTCAGTCACGATGGCTTTTGTCGTTTACTGACGATTCGAACGGGTGGCGATGCCAGCAGGCTTGCTTTCGAGAAATGTAAGCGACGTCAGCGATGCAAGAGCGAGAAGGAAAGCGAGTATCAGCCTGTTCTTCTTGGCTCCTCCGAAACTCAACAAGCTCACGTACACACAATTGGGCATAGTGTGCGAAAGTGAGGAATGAGAAGTTTCCGGGGCCCCGATGCACAGTCTGATTAAACTGATTTCGAGTCACAAATACGTTTCTGCCGAGTTATTTTTTTAATAAATGATGTATTACAATTTAAAATAAAAAATAGAGAATTTGCGGTGTACGTATCAATGAAATACATCCTTAGGAATTTTAATAATCTTGAAATTTTTAAATACTCTTAATCGATTGATTTCTCCAATGAAATTAATCGATTAATGTCCAATGATAGACCCTACAGCTTTAATTCCGTTAAAAAATAATAAAATTTATGTAATTTTATTTTCTGTCTCACTTCCTCTTGTGTTAATTTCTGAATCTGTTGATAACGTTGCGAGTGACACGAAAATGGTAATGGGGTCCCGGGACCCTAGAAACTCCGGCCGAAAAATTACATTACGTGAAAGGTCTATTCATATACCTCGTCTGTGATTGTAGCAGCTTCTTCTCATGGATGGTGGTCAATTAAAAAACTATTCACTGAATTAGTATTGATGGGCAGCAGCTGTAGTGTGTGCATAAATACATGTGAGTTGACTATGGAACGGATTAAAAAATGCAATTTTTAAACGACCATAACACCTACAATAGTGAATACATTTCAACGAAACTTTTTTCTGAAGTAGAGCTCATGGGCACCTACAAAAAAGTATTTAACAACTTTTCTGTAGGGCGTCAAACAAAATTACTAAAAATTAAAAACGAATTTGTAAGGAAAATTGATAGGAGCGAAATTGAAAATTTCCAAATCACTCTGGTGAAAATTATTTTCGATGGTAGAAGTCAATTACAATCATTTTTGGTCAATAGACATACCCCCGAAATCCTAACCATTTTCGAGAAAAAAATTCCGTACCGAAAATATAATTTCGGTATCTTTAAAATATTATAACTGCTGAACGAATTGAAGGATTTTAATGTTTCAAAATGCAAATAACGCGTATTTTTGTGAAGAATATGTAGAAATTCTGACAATATTGAAAAAGTTATTCCTTGACCCCGTAAAGTGAGAAAAACCCCATGAAAATGGTCCAATTTTCAAACAACCATAACTCCTACAATAGTGAATATATTTCAACGAAACTTTTTTCTGGCGTAGAGCTCATGAGTACCCACAAGAAAGTATTTAACAACTTTTCTGTAGGGCGTCAAACAAAATTATTAAAAATTAAAAACGAATTTTAGTAAAAATTGACAGGGGGGATTAAATGCCTAAATTTTTCGGCGAAATTGAAAAGTTTCAAAGCACTCTGGAAAAATTATTGTCGATTACAGGGATCAATTACAATCATTTTTGGTCAATAGACATACCCTCAAAATCCTAACCATTTTCGAGAAAAAAATTCTTTACCGAAAATATAATGTGTGGCCAGGAATGTTTCTGTAATTTCATTTTCTGTCCCACTTCCTCTTGTGTTCATGTGTGTAACCTGTTAGTAATGTTGCGAGAGACACGGAAATTCTAGAGCCCCAGCAAAATGGGCCGAAAAAATACATTGGGTGAACTCGTATACCTCGTCTGTGATATCACGGCAGCCATTTCGAAAAATATGGTTTCGGTAAAATCAAACAAAAAGAATCGATTTTTCTAAGGTTCTAGAGTAGAAAAATCCTCTTAATGTCCATAAGTATAGTGTTAATAAGACTAGTAGATTTAGTATGTCTGTTACCTTGAATCTGAGTTTTCCAGTGGGAGATGCCGCGAAAGGTATCTCATGAAAAGCGATGTAAGAAGGGCCTAAAACACTTTTAACGACAACACCTCGTATTTTACCTTCCTTTACAGTAACCAGCGGCTTATACATTATTGACTTATAACTTAATAACACTTTATTGCACTCTACACGGGATCTGCTCTTGAGGCGATCTGTACCCCTGCCGGAAACTGATTTTAATTTTAATTACAATAGTTTCTGATTTATACACAGATTCGGATATACCAGCACAACAGCGTTTCAAAGAAGACTCATCTTATTCGAACTTGACATCGCGAATGTAAAAATTGCAATATGAGATGTATTATTTATACCCTTGCAAGAATCGTGAATGTGAACGACATTCCAGATACAGTAATCTAAATAGCTTTATTGACCCCTCCAACCTTCATGTCCGAATATGATAGCATTTGTTAACACTAGCTGCTTAGGGATTTAGATATGTTCATGGACATTTTTTCTTTTACAAGATGAAAACCATCGACAACCATTGTAATGTACATGTTTTGCCCAAGTAAAAATCAGATAGTAGACTTCTATGATTGTATCAATCCATCGACACGATCGTTAATATTTTCATGTATCGATATCTGAACATCCTGTTGTATTATCAAAAATTTATCGAAAAGCTGTCATTGATATTGGTAAGATGTATTTATTGGTGTTTAGTATTGTATTGACGCAAGTCAACTAGTAAGTATTATCGAGAATGTATACATATCCCTCTCATCTCGCAACCGATATTCATAAATACATTTGACAAAAATTAAAAAGAATCAACGTTACATCAGCACCAGAAACAGTTTTCCCTCTTTGCTTCTCAGCGATCTTAAACTTAGGCCCGCGAGAATGTCGAGGTGAACATTGATAACAAATACTGGACCAAACTATTTTCACTCAAAAGATATATGTAGTATTATATCAAATTTGTATTGTTACATTACCGAGCATTTCATATATTATTTAAAATTATGTTGGTGTTTTTTAAAATTAAAAATCAAACTTCTCTAAAGAATAGTGAGAAATATTAATTTATCAGAAAATTTTTTTAATTTTATTTATAAGTTTTCCAGGAACCTAAACGTTTCTATTTCATTCCATATCTTTTAACAATAATTTCGGTTTCAAACCATTCTAAAATATGTAGAATGAGAATTAATATAATATTCGAATTTTATGAAATGATATAATGAATATCTTGAAACAAAAATGAAAAAGAAAAAAAAATATTAAGGTATGCGGAATCAATTGAAGGAGGAAGGTAAAATTATTATTGAGAGATTGAGAGCTATTGCTGTTTTAATCTAAAAAACATTTGATTTTTATAGTATAATAATTAAAATTAACTGACTTAAAAGCATACAACTTTTCATTTATTATTTATATAATACAAATGAAGGACCAACGTTACCGGTATTATTGTTTAAAAATGCAGAGATCTTATGTATAAACGCTACAATGTTTATTTCTAATCGTTCGACGGAATTAAACACTGTGCAGCTGTCGAAACTTAATATTTTTTTATTTGGATTATAATTTAAAGTTTTTTTTAAGCAATTCAAATAATTTAATATTACGTATTATATTATTTAATTATGACTTTTTGTTATCGAATGAGTTAAATTTAGATTTAATTATTATTCATTTATATTAATTACTTTAATGTTATATATTGCCTGCAATTCTTGTGTTTTATATGTCTTTACGATGAATATCATCCTGCTTCATGCTATCCCTATATTGGAAGAAATTAAATTCATTGCTGAAAAATATATCAGTAAGTAAGTTAGTAATTAAACACGCATAAATCTATAATAAAATATCGAAAAATAGTACAACTTTAGAAGTTTCTACATTTTTGAAGTTCATAACAAATGCATGAAGCATTGTAAAAAGTTTGGAGATTCATAAATTCGTAATAAATGTATGACCAAAAGTAACTGATTTTTCGTTGAAGATACTCGCTTTATTCCTAAATTCTATACCATTTCTGAATCGAGTCTCGGGGTCATGATCCGAAATTCTCGAGTTCTCGTATAACCCTAAACCTTTATCATTTTTTCGAATTCACGCGTCTACTGAATAACAATACAACTGAACAGTAATGACAATCGACAATGGATCTCTTAATAATATATGGTGGATTTCATAAATTTTCTTCTATCTATCAGTCAACATGTCATTTCCTAATGACAAATAAGGAAAAATCCATGTTGCGTCCGTTATTCCCATAATAGGTTATCTTTCTGATACGTCGCGGCAACAAGAAGTGTAGAGTCCTTTTTTTTTATTAACTTAAGCATTATCTTTTAAAAAAACCTGCAATAATCTCTTTGCTGTTCATTAATGACACGCTGATAAAAAGTGTCGACAGTTGAACAAAGTTCAAGTACATTCATTTTAACATTAATTTCGACTATTTATTGCAATATACATATTTATACATGATGTCCAATTTTAATCTATAAATACAAATTACTTGGAAATTATACACTATACAGGGTGTTCGGCCACCCCTGGGAAAACTTTTAATGAGGGATTCTAGATACCAAAATAAGACGGAAATCAAGAATACCAATTTGTTGATGGAGGCTTCGTTAAAAAGTTATTAATAATTACATTAAAAAATTTCAAATCGTTCTGGAAAAATTATTTTCGGTTGCCAATTACAATCATTTTTGGTCATTACGCATACTCCCGAAATTCTATACACTTTCGAGAAAAAAATTCCTTACCGAAAATTTACTTAAGTTCCTAAATTCAATGAAAAAAAAAATTTCAAATCATTCTGAAAAAATTATTTTCGGTTGTGAGGGTCAATTATAATCATTTTTGGTGAGTAGATATACCCCTGAAATCCTGCGCATTTTCGAGAAAAAAATTCAGAACGGGCGGAACTTTAAACGTTAATAACTTTTTAACAAAGCCTTCGTCAACAAATTGGTATTCTTGATTTTCGTCTTATTTTGGCCTCTAGAATCCCCCATTAAAATTTTTCCCAGGCGTGGCCGAACACCTTGTATACAAAAATTATTCGTAAGATGGTGTAATTAGTTAAATATATGAATATATACGAATATAAGTATTGCATAGTATAGAAATGGTGTTTTCTTAATTTCAGAATTTGATTTTTATCGTATTGGAATATTTTAATGAATATGTAAAATTAAATTTTATACGAAGAAATTGGATATTGCAAAAAGAAACTAAAAAATGGATTGCCAAGATTTGAACCTGAGACCTTCTAGATTATACAGTCCGGGAGGTTGAATCATGCCCTATCGGCCGCAGTTATTGAAATTTAGTTCGCTTGCTAGCATAGTCAGAAAAACGACTTACGATGGCAGATTCGATATTTTGGGTATATCATCGATCCTATATCAAGAACATATAAAACATACATTCCTTTTATCGAAATCTACGATTTCGAATGAAAACAAAGTTAATCCAACATCTTCGAAACGTTAAAGTTTGAGGTTATTTTTTCGTAAAAATGGTTTCATCGTAAATTTATCCTCTGAAACAAAACCGAATCTTTCTACGAACGAAGAAATTAGAAAAAGCGAAGTTGAGGAAATTTACATGCTATCGTTTAAAACGCGAATGTGATATCTCGAAGGACTGTTCACAAAAAGATACGCGTACATGCTATAATTGTAAAAGTGAAGGGCATATCGCAACAGCGTGTCCATTAAAACACGAGGTCAAAGAGGCAACAATCAACGACTAAATATGTAACATCCATTCCTCACGTGGATACATACATTTCGAAATGATTAATAAAATCAAAATTGCAACGAGATACGATATTTAGAAGATTACTGAAGATGGAATTTAACAGTTCAGAGAATAATAAAATGATAAGCGTATGGGAAATCCGTTTTGATGCGAAAATCGATGATGTATTGTGTAAAGACGTTTAGTTTCGTGTAGTACGAGATAACGATATTAGGAACGATTGTATAATAAGAAGGTCGTGATTTTAACCGCTCGAATATTGAATTCCGTAAGCGAAATGATAAGTTCATTATCAAATAAACTGAAGACCGATTTGAGAACTTTGACGGAATTAAAGACGATGGCTTTATTATAAAAAGAGTGCGACGAATGCTCCAAATAGATATCCAGCGGAGGAAGTTATTTATAATGATACTTTTAAGAGTGAACTTGAACATGAGCTATTCTTCACTTGCATATTTAATTGTATGTAGTATGTAGAATATTCTGTGAAAGTTTAAAGATATTATCTAATATGCGTTTTGAATTAGTCTGAATGTCCCCTATAAAATGATAAAAAAATAAATAAGACGATCATGATTTCGCAATGGAAACAATATACACATTCGATACCAATAAATTTTGACCGAAAAAATTTTTTCTTTTTATCCTAAAATGATCGTATATGGCTGAAAAATTATGCGTCGCGTTGTAGAATACACCCTGTATATTATGGAAAAATAGTCTATTTTAAAGTTAGACCTTTGTATATTGTTATACCAATATGTTACCTCTCCAGTTGTTATTTGATAAAACTTTTATCACATTTAGTCTATAAAAACATTCTATTTTTAAGTATTTTAACTAGGGAAACCATGAAAATCTGTTATCAAAGATGATCCCTAGTACTTTGATAGTGTCTATAATTCTAAATTTTGCGGCTGCTTGCCGTTATAGGAAAAAGTAAGCGAGATAACAGAAGAAAAGGAGAGCGTTTTGCCTTGGGCCTACCAGTGGACTCATCAATAAGCTAACCCTATCCGGCCCTGTCTTAAATGTCGGAACCAGTGATGCCAGAAAAGCACCGTCGGGTGCACACTCACACATGCTAGATACGCGTACGTGAGCTCGTGGAGTTTCGGAAAGACGACAAAGGCAAACTGACGCATGCCCTCTTTCTCGATTCTTCGAAGCTGCCCGAAGTAATTTCGGACCGCTTCGTGGGAGTCGAGAGAGAAAGGCTCACATTTGCCTTCTCGCTCTTAACAACTGAAATCCGACCTCCAGTCAACGGCATACGATTTGGATTCTCGAGCCGAGATTCTCGACTGCCCAGGCATTTTTACTTTCCGACCTATGTAGGCGCACATAAG